CAACTGTGTCTCGAGTTTGCACATTCTCCGTTTGTGTGGGCTTCCTGCCACAGTCCAAATGTGTGCAAGCTAGGTGGATTTGCCATGCCATGCCCATAGTGTCCAGGGGTGTGTAGGTTAGGTGCATTAGCAACAGGAAATGCAGGGTTACAGGGATAGGGAAAGGGGACGGTCTGGGTGGGATTTTCTGCAGAGGGTTGGTGTGGATTTGTTGGGCCAAATGGCCTATTTCCACATTGTAGGGATTCCATGAATTTTTAAAGGTGTCAATAAAGGCAATGTATTTGATGTAGTCTACTTAGACTTCAGGGCTTTTGATAAAGTCACACATTGGAGACTGATAGCAAAAAGGTGAGAACTCATGGGATCTCCAAGGAAATTTAGTTAATTGGATCCAGAGTTGGGTGAGTGACTGGCAAAGAGGGTATTGTCAAGAGGTGTTCTTGTGACTGGAAGTCTGTATCCAGTGGGCTTCTGCAATTATATATGAATGACTTACACTTAAAAAGTAGAGTTGATCAATAAGTTTGTGGATGATATAAAAGTTGGTGGAATAATAAATCAAGAGAATAGTCTTTAGATGATGGAAGGATATACTTGGACTGAACAGTGGCAAATGGAATTCAGTCCAGATAGAAGTGGGAGGTGATGCCTTGTTTGTCCTGCCCAAGTGCAAGAGAATGCAAGAAGGAGGCTATGTCCCTGGGAAGCACTGAGAATCAAGGACACCTTGGCACACATCTTCTAGCCCCTTAAGGTAATAGGACAGTTAGATAAAGTTGTTAAGAAATCATTTATCCTTATTAGCCCAGACACAGTTTAAGAGCAGGGAGGTGATGCTGGTACTGTATAAAAATGTTAGTTAGGTCACAGCTGGAGTGTTGTTTTCAGTTCTGGAATCCACATTATAGGAGGGATGTGATAGCACTGGAGAGGAGATTTAGCAAGCCTTGGCTAGAGAGTTATTATGAAGAGACATTGAATAGACTGGTGGTGTTTTCCTTGAAACAGGAAATGGAGTGGGGACGTGTATACAATTAATGAAGTGCACAGATAGGAAAGACAAAGGAATATTTCCCTTTTGGAGGGAAAAATGACTGGGGTCATAGATTTAAGGTTAGGGCAAGATGTTTAGAGGAAAGACTTTTTCACTCAGTGGTAGGAATCTGAAACTCACTGTCTGTAAGGATGGTAGAGGCAGAAACCTTCAGAATATTTAATTAGTATTTAGATGTGCACTTGCAATACAAATGTTTACAGTTCAAGTGGTCAAAAATAGGCGTTTGCTTTTGACTGGCATAGACTCAGCCTTTTTCTGTGCCGTAGATCCATTTCTATGACCTGGAGGTGCCAAGGGAACAAACAGTAACTCTTCATGGGGAGATAGGCAAGTCAAAACAAACTGACCCTTTTGTGGCTCTAGTGATAACCACCCCACACCCCACCAACAGAAAGCTATGTTCTGCAGATATTTGTGTTCTTCCCTTTCAGAATACACAAACAGGTGTTAAGTAGATGTTACAACCTAGTCTGGGGGCACTAGTGGGTGAACATATTTGCTGGGAAGGATCCTGGTCCTGCAGGTAAGACGAAAGGTAGTCTATTTCTTTGCTGAAGCCAGACAAGAAGTGAAACTGCAGGTGAAAGGAAACAAGACAAACCTTCCAACTGACTTATTAAACCAAGCATTCAATAGAAGTCACTTGCCTACCAACAGTGGCACACTATCACCCAGTGTAACGCCAAAACATCCATTATCTACTCTTCAGTAGAGTCAGTCTGATCTGTATATTTTTTTTTTGTTTCTTTTATTTCTGATCTGTGCTTCTTCTCACATTTAGTAACTAGTAAATTCCTCTTTTGTTAACTCAAAGCCTGGTTAAATTGGCTCCTTTTAAAACAAATATTTGGTCTGAGAGAAAGGCATCCATGAGTTATCCATTAACTTTATTGCAAACAACTGAGGAGGCAAGTGAATAAAGAAAGCAAGCCATTTCATCCTTCACCAGGGCACTTAGTTTGGGGTATCTCATCAAAAATAGTAGTAAGTTAGGAATCTCACTCAGGAATTGATCACAATAGTGATCATCTAGCTTCCTCTTAGATATATCTATGCTATTTGCCTCAGCTACTCAGTATTATAGCATGTTCCAGTTCTTCACTATGAATAAGACAATTACAGGCATTTAGGGATATTTTTGCTTAGCTCCTCCAATGTGTAGTTTGGTTTACACTGACAGAATGCCAAGAGTTCAGTGGCTGGGGCTGAGGGGGAAGTGGAATATACCTGGTTAGTTCCTTGGAGGATGCATTAAAGCCTCAATAACTTGTGCCCGAATTCTCCAACAAGGAATGAGGCTGGGGGAGGACATTGAATCATATTGGAAGTGCTGTGTTAAGTCCCTGATGTCTGGAGAAAAGTACTAGGTCCTCCTGATGGAGGGGAATGTGGGAAGCAATATCAACAGCCCAGGATAGATTGTTTTACATGTAATGAATACTTAAAAACACAACTTATGCAAACTGCTTTTGCAGTTAACTTGGAGACAGATTCAAACCAAGATCCTTCACTAGTTAAAATATATAATGAGCAGTGAGGCACATAGAAGTGGAAGCGGCTCAGTGGTTAGCACTGCTGCCTCAGCACCAGGAACCCAGGTTTGGTTGGCTGAGGCTGGAATCATCTATGTGGAGTTTGCACATTCTCCCCACATCTGCAGGGGTTTCCTCCAGGTGCTGCAGTTTCCTCCCACGTGCAGGCTGGGTGGATTATCCATGCTAAATTGCCTGTAGTGTTCAGGGATGTGTAGATTATAGGGGGACTGGTCTGGGTGGGATGCTCGGAGGGTCAGTGTGGACTTGTTGGGCCAAAGCTTGTTTCCACACTGTAGAGATTCTGTGATCTAGGAGTCAGATGGAATTCTTGCCATCACATGGAAGTTTGGTTGGAATAGGGGAACAGGAAGCAGAGGGGAGTAGCGTGGAGCTGAGATTCACTCATGAGTATAGGAGTTGAGGAGACAATCAGAATGAGCTCTTTCATTATAGGAGCAAGGATAGCCCATTAGATAGTAGTGCCTACACAAGCAGTTAATAAGACATTGGTTGATCTTGTCGTCAGCTTGGCTATTATTCTTCTGTTTGGCCCCCAGATTTTTGCTAGACAAGCAAGTCAAGAGCATATCTAACTCAGCCTGTGGTAAATTTAATGACTTAGCCTCCCCTGCTTTCTAGAAGCAGGAGGGGCGGAAGAATTTTATTCAGTGGGAAAGACACTCACACCGCCACCTTAAAAGGAAGGCCTCATTCTTAAACTGGATCCTCTATGTCTAGTCTTTCCCACAAGATGAAATATCTTGTCAACACCTGTCCAATCAGTTCCTCAAGATCTTTCAGTCACAATGCAAGTTTGAGTAAGACAAAAATGAGCTCAGGATCTTGGAACTTAGCGTTTGTAGAATAAGCAAAAATCTTTGAAGACTAGGTCACTATTCAAGAACACACCATTGACAAGAGTCTGACTGCTGTGGAGTTTTTGGTGGAGAAGAAACTGAACTTTATCTAGTCAAATGTGGTCAGACGACCAACAAAAAAGTGTACTTTGCAGTGGGCCCGGATGTGGAGGACAGCAAGGAGAAAGCCATTCAGGATCCAATCCAACACATGTCAATAGAATGCCCCTAATAGGATCTGTTGTTTGGACCATTTTAGCAGCACTCACTAATGTGCACCTCAGAAGGATCTCCAGGATTATAGTCATCTACTACATGCTGTATACACTTGTACAGCAGAGGGAGGAGACCTTGCCAACTATAGGCCTGCAAGGGCCACATTCCTAACTTGAAGAGGAAAATGGATCAAAGCAGGCTAGAAATTAGATTCCAGTACCTAGTGCCAGGTGTGTGGAGATATGTCAATCTGACAGTCCTTAATTCTCAACAGATAACAAATGACAATGCATTTGAGAAGTCATCAGCTTCAGATCTTACATCCACAGGACCACTACATCGCCAACTGAGATCAATCCACTTGTCTTTCGACATGTCACTCCAGCCTGGTCATCTCTATCACAGAGGTCAATACTCTGCCTTCACCTACACAGTCCCACTGCTTATTCTGTAAGGGATCATACTGTTAACCAGGCAACTATAATAAAACCATCTGCCATACAAGAAAATCATATTTTGCTGGTCTATGTTAGTGATGTATCATTTGATCACCCTTGTGCCTTAATACTATTTCCTTTATGCTTAGTCACTAAATATGTTGCAACTGCAAGTCTGCAGTGTAGAAACAGGCTGCTTACTGATGCCCTGTTGCCCGAGATTACTTTGGCAGCTGCAGTCTGGATGCTTGATGCCTGGGTACCCCAACATGTCAAGGGTCCCCTGTGACTATTTTGGCTGCTGCCAGTACAGGGGTCACTGGCAGAGGTGCTTGGAAGCAGCTGCTCACCGAGTTCAGAGGTGCCCAGAGAGGGCAAGTGAGCACTTCTCCCTCTTGGTGCATGATAGTATCTCCTGAACAAACAGATAAGGACAGGTGCTAGGTAGGGTGTCCAGATGCCTCCTTTACCCTGTTCCTGGGGACTGTTGTATACTGTGGATGGATCGGGGATTGCATTCAGATTCATTCATATGGTGGCCACTGACTAGTCTGCTAAATCTCAATCTCCATGTTTGTCATCAGCCTCACCATGGGAGGAAACCAAGTACTTACACACCTGAGACACTACAGACATTGAAGGGACATGACATTGGCTTAATCATCTGTGCATATCTACACAATGCCTCTGGCAGGTGGACCAGATATTCCCTTGCCTGTCACTATATCTCTAGATAGTTCTGTGTGGCCATTACCACAGGCCCATCATTAAGTTGGGACTCAACATGAGCTTCACCCCAGCAGTCCTCAGTCAGATCCTTAGGCTGTCTCAGCTGCAGTCATCTGCTCTAGTATGTATGTGATGTCCTCACCACATTGAGCACTCAGGTTCTAACCTTGATTGCATCCAAAGTGATGGATTCTGCACTGGTGGTGTGTGGGGGAAAGATGTGGCAATACAACAAGGTTTTGGCATCCTCCCCCTTGGATGGGACTGCAGAGTTGTGGACAATGGAGCAGGCTGTCTTCTAGGTTGCAAACACCTGTAATAGAGAACACAAAGAATTGAGTTCTTATGATTAAAACTCCTTTCTTCCCCTCCCCCTCTAACATACTCCTTTCTGCCCAGTGGTGGACACCAAGTTTGCAGTTTCCTCACTCTCCTCTCTGCACCTCTGCTTTATTGTCACTGATCTTCCAGCCACCCTAATCTTTAGGCAATTGCACAGCCTCTTCCTATGCCAGTCAAATGTCAGGCATTCCTCTGTCTGTCTTAGTGCTTTATCAATATAGGCATTTTTCCACTCTGAAGGGGCAAATGAGTCTTAGCTGGACTAAATAACTAACCCACACAACCCTTTCTCCTTTTGCCCATTTCAGTGTACAGGGGAAGGTGCACCATCAGGACCTGTGCCAGGATGACTAAATTCTATCATTGTTGCAAATATCTCAGAACTACAGGAGACAGATGGTGGTAAGCCCCAGGAACATTTTATTGAATTTTACAGACACTTAGCTTCTGCAGGCCATAGATTCAAGGTTCTTTTGACTAATACCTTTAAATTTGTTGGCTGATATTAGAATATCAAACAATTGATCTCACCTGAGAGGTGAGCATATACTTGGACAACAAAGTATTAGTTTACAGATGCTGGCATTATGAAATAACAGCAGAAAATGCTGAAGACACTCAGTAGGCTGGCAGCTTCCAGGCTTTTGAATAAAACTTGAGATGCACAGTTTTCTTATTCCAATGTTCAACAAATGAACTCTATGCACATCCAACCACTGAGTGGGCATCTACAGTGACTAAGAACATTGAACCCATGAAAGGATCTACATAGTCAATGCACAAGTGAGACCGGGTCTACCTGGCCAGTCCCACAAGTGTCAGGGGAGCTGCTGACAGCAATTTTTGTCCTTGGTTGCACTCTGGGAACTGCTTCACTAATGTGGCTATGACTGCATCCAAGCCTGGCCACCAGACAGAATTTCACTAATATCTTAGTTTTGAAATCCAGTGGCAGTACCACCTCAAGTCCCTCTGTTCAGGATATGTCCCAAGTGTGGACATACAGGTGCCTTCACTCAAGTGCCAGTCAGACTGGCAAATGTGTCTACTTCCAACAGAATACCCTGCAACTCATGCTCCACTTGCTACATTTTCCAATAATAAAGCCAATTGTAGTGCTTGTTTGAAGTTCATTTGAGCTTCAGCTAGTAGACATTTTTGCATGGTTCTCATTAATCACATAACCAATTTCTTAACATCGAGTTGAATCAAAGTCACATGTCTCTCCCAGTCATCTTAACTGAGTCAAAACTCCCAATATGGCTTTCCCTGGTTCTTAAGTTACTTAGTGAAAAACAACCAAATCTCAAAGTTAGAGGCAGCTTGGGGTCATAACATTCCTTAACTAAATCTATCAACTCTTGAAACATTTTAGTATGTGGTGCCTCAGGGAAAGTTAGGCTTCTAATAACCATAAAAACTGCAGGTCAACAAGCTGTCAGGAGAATTATTCCTGGTTTGTCATCTGCCTCAATGTCATTTGCCCAGAAAAAAAAAAACACATTCTTTCCACATACCAGACCCAGTCTTCAACAGCACATCAAACAAGCCAACTTCCTAAATAATAGCATGATGCCAGAAATGCTTACCCCAAATCAAAGACAACTGTTGTGAGTTTCTCCAGAAATGTGATTTACTCTCATCACCATTGGAATAACTCCACAGGCCAGTATCCTATCACCCTTTATTTGCACATGGAGAGTTTAATAACAAGCCAGCTCCCAGATTGGCAGAACATCTGCCAGCCAGGAGTCCCTGATTGGGCTGTTAATCTGGCCCAATCAAGGAATTCATATTCCATGAGGTCCACTTGGCTGATCTCATTACAATCCCTACACTGCTATCTGCACGTCCAATACTGTCCTGCATCTTATCAATAAAGTACATGCGGATGAAGTTAAATTAATCAGTCTTCACATATTTGGCTTAAACATCAAAATCTTTTAATTAGTCCCAACATTTTAGTGGTTATTAAAATGCAAATTTATGTGTCCTTCGTAAATGTTCCTCTATCTTTAAATTAATTTATACTCAGAACTGTGATACATAAAATGCAATTATGTATAAATATGCATGTCTAATATCATAGAAATTGTCAACAATTGAATGCTGTTATGGACCAAGGACCATTCTCAAGCCTTTGAGTCCTACTTTACCTGTGATACACCTCTGAGAAAAAATTAGGTGTTCAGCTTGAAATGCCATTTTCTATGTAGGATCCCATAAGAACCTCCACTTCAAAATCTCTAGCTAAAGGGATTAAATGTATCAATTTTCTGAAATATTGGTGGTCTGATTGCAAGAGTTTAAGATATCTTTCACTGACAGTTTTGTCAATCACCCTTGATTTGACTAGGAATTGCCTGGAATGGGAAGTTACTCTTATGTATGGTGTTGTGAGAAATCCAAGAGAATCGTCCATGGTTCATTTTGTATTACTCTTGTTTGAGAGAAGTCTGGGTCTAAATTCAAATCCTTATAGCCTCACCTGGAACCTATCTCCCTGCTCTTGAGATTCTGAGTGCAGGTAGCTGTCTTATGCTCATAGGCATTCCCTATCTGACATGTTAAAGAAAACAATTTCTTGGTTACTGATCTAACTTATCATGAGGTCTGTCTGATCTAGCTGCACTAACTAAATTATGAGTTCCCGAGAAAACAGTCTGGCCTATACAGTGACTCTACTGAAACTGTTATAAGGGCATTCAGTGCCCTATTAGTGGAGTGCACGTGACCACAACAAGCCAACTGGCAATTTTGGTACAATATTCCATTTTGTTTCAACTATCTCCCTTTTCATACAAAAAAACAAGCACAAAAAATATTTGGATTCATTACGACTTAAATTTTGAGTAGCTAATTTACTCACTATGCATGCAACTGTTCTCATGTGCAGGCAGTTGGGTTATTCTCATCAATCTTTGTATGTGCATTGGGTAGTAGTGTTTAAATAATGCCAATTTCTTAATGGTACATCTTAACGACATGTTATCATTGGCTGTTCACCTGGGTGATGTTCCTTCTCCAGGTATGTTCCCATGTCATTTGTTGCTGCAGAGCCTGTTGTAGTTCCATTTCTATTTGTTGTGGTGATGTAGACCACAGGGACTGATGTTTGATGTGTCAGTTCATTTTTTCTGATTTTGCAGTTGAGGAACAGCAACCCCAGTTGTGCATATGTGCCTGTGATTGCAGTTATATCCCTGCGTTTTCACATGTATCCTGTACGATCAAGGTGACACTGCTCTGCACAGTCCCAGTTTGTTACTTGGACTAATTGTTGTTGACAGCATTGAAGTTTTGTGCTTTGACTGGTTCTCCAATGTTCACCTCTGGCAGTTTGAAAGTCTTGTTAAAATGAAATTTGGCTTTCTACCTTTTTACCTTGATTTTGAAACTCATGTCTGTTACTACTCTGGCTTCAGTAGCTTATTTGCAATTGCAAGTCAGGTGTGGGAGTGGCACAATATCTGGAATGCTTTATTGACTGAAGTGTGCTTTCAGGCATTCTACAGTTTCACTGTTAATCATTGCAGTCAACTGGTCCACCTCCAGTAGTCAGAATACTAATCTATCTTGTCAAGATATTCAATGCTTGCAAAAGTGAGAAGCTCTAATCTCAGCTTCATCCATGGTTTTGCCTGGAATCTCATGTGTGGCTTGATACTTACTTAGCCTAGTACTTATTATAAGCACTGCACTTGATCTCATTGCTTATGTTTAGTCAGTAGAGCACAACTCTTGCCTTCCTCAGGCTTTACTCAGTTCCTTGGTGATTTGCAATGAATATGCTTTAACCTCTCTCCTGTCAACCTCTTGGGGATAATGACTGTCTTTCCTCTGTACAGTATGCCGTCTTGGTCTGAGAATTCTTTCTGTATGCATAATATGCTCTTGTAGCAACAGATGTGTCCTTGATGGTTTTTAAGGCATTCTTTTATCACTACTAGCAACACTTGAAGAGTATAAGACAGCTACCTACATTCAGAGTCCCAAGAGCAAGGAGATAGGTTTCAGCTGAGGCTGTAAGGATTTGATTTAGACCCAGACTTCTCTCAAACAAGAGTGATACAAAATGAACTATGGATGATTCTCTTGGATTGGTCACAACACCATCCATTAGAGTAACTTCCCATTCCAGTTCATTTGATTTGAGCGATGCACTGTCTATTAGATTCAATTTCTCTGCTAGTTAATGACTTTCAAAGCATGCTGAGCTGCTGCTTCTCATTGGAACTGAAGAATTTCACATTGTGTTGTAGCATTCTCTGCTTTGTTCATTGGGAGTGCTGGCCTTGATGTCAGTGATGTCCATCACTTTCCCTTGCTTTTATCTCATGTCCAGATATTGTTTCTGGAACTGAAGTAACATTTTTTGCGGATGCTTTGGAGCAGATAGTAACAGCTTGAGGAAAATGTTTTGACGTGATTTGTGGTCAGATTCAACTGTCACTTTGTCATTTCCAAGGAAATATTGATGGAAGTGCTCAAAGGCAAAGCAGTCGCACTAGATTGTGATTGTAGTAAGCAAAGACTTTTTTTAATGTACCTCTACAACAACAAATCAATGAATTATCTACAGTAGCTTTTACTCTGAAAAAATTATTAACCAGCTCATGGTGTATGTATTGACACTCGTCTGGAGCTGTGGAAATGTTAAAAAGCACGTGCAACCACGTTTATCTCCAAAGGGTGTTCAGAATTTAGTTAGAAAGTCAGTGCTTTCATTCAGCTTCACTTGCCAGTAACCATTAATTACATCTGGGGTAGTGAAGGTTATTACCTTTTGCAAATTGTGGTAAAATTCTTTCCATAGACATATTACCATAAGATTTAGGCCATTCAGCCCACTGATTCTACTCTGCCGTCAATCACTGCTGATATGTTTCTCAGCCCCATTCTCCTGCCTTCACCCTGTAACGCTTGATCC